AAAAAAAAATTATATTCATAATTAGTAATACAGGGTGTTCTACTCCTGAAATAATATTCCAAGAAAATTATTTTTTCTATAATTTCTGTCTGAAAATTGTTGTGCGGCCTATACATGCGTAAATACGGTAATTCATGGTAAGCACTCCATAGATTCACTACAAAAAACAGCTATCCTGGGAACATCACACATACTACGGAAAGTGTTACAGTGCGAAGCTTGAAGCCTGAGTGGTGAGGTGCATCACTGGTTCAAGAAAAGGAATACCACGAAATAAACCTGTGTCAGGAGATGATAATAATAATAATCATCATCATCATCTTGGGATTTACGGCATAGGATTTTCATTACTTTGTGCATTAGAAACAAACAAAAAGATGCTTTAATATAAGTTAGCGTGACAAACTGGAATGACTTTCTCTTTATTCTTGACATGCGAGTTAACAGAATTTACTTTTCAATTTAACGCAATCAGCACATGTTGTTCCGTCAGTTACCTAACGAAGTTGTAACAACCATAGAGATCATATAGCACTGAATGATCTTATGGAACTATACATACAGATAACTGGAAAGCGTTGCGGCTGCGGGCATGCGCTATATGGACCGCGGAAAACGAGGAAGATTCCATCAGAACAGGAGGTGCCGGCAGACATTCGAACCATAGGCACACAGAACGCAATGGTAAGTTTTTAGTTAACAAAATACACTGTACCTTTGTGACGTGATCGTCTCCACTGAGGCTGACGGAGAAGAATGGAAACGCCTGACTATACCACGATCTGCGTGTCGACCAGCGTGGGTCCTGCGAGGGGGTTAGGTCTGGATAACTAGAGGAACAGACCTTGAAGGGTGGAGGATCCAACGCGTGCGCAGACGTCTGTGAGACACTTTCTGTGCTATCAGATTTGAGGTCCCATGAGACGGGATCACTGATCATACCACCACAAGGTGCAGACTTGGAGACAACATCAGACTCTGCGCTGTGCAATGACACAGCGAATGGTATGACGGTAGGTAGGCTACTGGAGCCACTAGCAGTAGTCCTGCCAGGCGGAGATTGAAGTCTGAGGTCTTCAGGAGGTGATTCGGTGACCATGGCGTTATCATAATTACGGCGACGATGACGCCCTCTATGACGCCTTTTCGTCCATCTGCATGAAGACAATTGAGGTACTGCAGTTCGGTTACGGACATCCGCACAAGAAGTTTGGTTGCTGCACGATTCACTACTGACAGCACCGTCAGGGGAATCAGAGCACACGACATGTCTTGGAGATGATGTACAATGTTCCATATGGGAATTGGGTGGTGTATTTCCGTTGTTCTTGCTGCGATGATGGGGGGAATGAGATGAAACAATTGATGAAGAATCAATAGACCGGTCATTTATTTCCAGCTGTGGATCTTTACATGGTGGAGATTCGTGGATAAGAGGTGATGGGCCATCAAATGTGTCCACGACGCCACCGATTGTCACAGGGAGCATGTTAATATCGCCCTTAACAGACGGTGAGATTAGTAGTGGATCAGAGACTGCAACTGCATATGCGTTAGAATTGACAAGAGGAGGGATTCTAGAGGCGGAGGCTATCTTCCGCGGAGCCAGAGTGACGATCAACTCTGCTCGCGGAAGGATGGACCAGAGCCAACCGTTAAAAAAAGACTCGAGTCGAATGGCCGAAACGTTTGAAATAACACATAATGTACAGCACGCGTAAACCGCTGTCTCTACGTAAAGACGACAAAGAGGAAATGAACAGTATGTGGGCTAAAAGCTAAAATAATTTCCCTTACGAAGACAGTAACAACTTTTCTAAACCTGAATTGGCTTTTTGTGTTAAAATAACAAAAAACGGAAGTGGAGCCTGAGAAAATCATGCCATAGCCCCTATTAAATTATCTGCACACGAACATATATGAGAAGAGTAAGATGATGGTACTTGTATTCTCTTGACTGTATGCAGTTGGAGATGTTACAAAAGAACGACTAAAGGTACACAGTATATATGGGTGACAGGAGAGGCTTTGGTAACGAAAAACTGTAGGAAGATGTCTTTGAATCCGGTTTGAATAAGACGGTAGATGACATGGCAAATCCAATTCAGCTTTCTGCCAATTCCACGTGTCTGTTAAGGAAGAACTTCACAGTATCACTAGGGCTACTCTTTCAGTGATGCTATTCTTCTTTACAAAACTCCCTTCACTCATTCATGACAAAGTCAACAGCCGAACCGTCAGATTGAAATGCATGAATTATTTGCAACTCCATACAACCATAAAACAAGTCACACACTAACTTTGGACAGCACAAATGAGTAGGAAAAAGATTTCGCTCAAACTGAACACAAGATTACACTGAACATACGAACATCGAGCAACCTAACAGGAGCACTTGTATTGCGAGGGCAACCGGACAGCAGTAATTAGCGTCCTATAACGAGAAATACACTGAAGCAACTTGGAACTAAGTACCGTGAACAGCTTTCAGAAAGATCCAGGAGGAATGAGAGGAGAGGAAACGATCTAAAGAAGGGTAGTGCCTGTGAGAGAAAGGGGAGGAGAACTATGACGATTTGTTGGGTTTTTATTATTTTTTTTACTCTTTTTATTTTGTCAAGGAACTGGGCAAAATGCCTATGGACAGAAGAATCTCACAAATCGCCTTCCCCTCTGAAATGAAGTCAACATGGCCAGACCACTACACACGGTAGAAAAAAATATATCGAAGGGCAGAGGAGAACAGTCCAAAACGACAAGTTTCAACAGACTGAAATTGGAGAGATGCCATCAACCATCTCACTGAGGAACTTCACTAATAACAACACGAGGCATTTTCATGTTCCTCTCCTCTGTTATTCATTTCTCTGCATGAAAATTGTTCCTCTAACTCTCAGCAACAACCGTGTCACATGAAGGAGGGTACTATAACAGAACGTTTAAACTGCATCACCTATGTGCTAAGTATTTTCGCCACGCTTATAGTAGGTTCAACTTCAACAGAAGTGCATTACGTGTAATTGTTCGCGTTTTAATTATTTTTTTTTTCATTTGATAATTTTATAGACGGTAGAACTCCCTGGACGGGGGATCAGCTCGTCGCAAGGCCTCTACTTAAATACAGGACAACACAGACACAGAATAAACACGTACACATACCAAACATCCATGCCTTGAGTGGGATTCGAACCCACACCCGCATCCGAGCGAGCGAAGACAGTACATGCCTTAGACGGCGCGGATACCGTGGCCGGCATTAGACAAACCACATTCCATAAATTTATAAGAATGACTTGGTTTCATTTGTCGATCGCAGTGGCCGCGCGGACTAAGGCATGAACTGTCTTCGCTCATTCGAACGCTGGGATCGCAGGTTCGAATTCCATTCGAGGCATGGATGTTTGTGTTGTTCTGTGTGTAGGTAGAGTCCTCGCGAAGGGTTTGATCCCCGTCCAAGGAGTACTACCAACTGTGTATAGGATCAATAAAACTGAAAAAGCGGCCTAAGGCCCAACAAAGGGCTGTAGAGCCATAATAACTTGGTTTCATTTACATTCCGAAAATCTGTTAAACTGGACAATTTGTCACCCAATCAAAACCATTCCAGCAATGTAATTCACAGCCTAGCTCGGGATGGTCACTATATGTAATTCTGTTGCACCAATCCCCTACATTTCTCGGGCAGGTCCACTCCAAGTTTCGGTTGCAGCTCTTCTGAACTGCTCACTATTCGACATGTCTACTCACATATCACAAAAATTACTTGAGGCGGGGGCAAGAGTTGTTTTTATTGCGTTCAAAACCGGCTCCGGGACCCACCCAACCTATCTAATGGTTACTTGAGGGCATTTCCCGGTAGTAAAGTAGCCAAGGTGTGGGGCGCCCACGAACCTCCATCTAGAGCAGCGGTTAAGAATATGTGGAGCTACATCTCCACTCTCCTCTATGTTTTAATTAAACACAAGGAAAGCATATTTTACCATAGCTCTATCCCTTTAACTCCGCACTGTATGCAGTCTGCTACGATTACGTTAAAATGGCGAATGCAAATGGCGGATTTCACACTCATCACAATTAAGAAGCTCCTCAGGGAAATCTGTGTTTTTAGTGACAAATTCGTTTATAAATGATACTTTTAAAATAATACAGCTTCATACAGCGAAATGGGGCACGCGATAGTGTAGTTGGTTGAGACACTATGCTACAAGTACGGTCGCGGGTTCGATTCACGATAAGATCATTGGATTATCAATTGACCTAACTTTCCAGCAGCACTATGGCCCTCAGGTCGACTCAGCCTAACAGATATGACTACCAGGAATCTTCCTTGGCGTAAAGGGCGGCCGGTGCGTAAGGCTGACAATCTTATCGCCATTTGTGAGCCGACTGTGTTGAGAAAATATGGGAGCCTCGACGTCTCACAACCCCACGGGCCTCCACCGCCTGTTATAGGGATAGCTTTACCTTTACATAAATGAAGAGTTCGATGAAGACGCGATCAATGAAATGTTTCCACAGAGGCTAAATATTTGAAAACTGTTCAATACTTAACAAAAAAGAAAAAAGTAAAGTAAAGGTATCCCCATAACAGGCCGTTGAGGCAAATAGGGTTGTGAGAAGTTGAGGTTCCCACATTTTCTAGACAATCGGCTCATAGATGGCGGCAAGGTTGTCAGCCCTACGCGCCGGCCGCCCTTTACCCCCAAGAATATTCCTGGTACTCATTTCTGTCAGAGGCTGAGTCGAACCCAGGGCCCCAGTGCGGCTGGAAGGATTAGGTCAATTGAAAAAATCCAATGACCTCATTGGGACTTGAACCCGCGACCTTCCGGCTTGTAGCATAGTGCTTCAACCAACTACACTACCGCGTGGCCCAAATATTTAACAGCAGTAAGTTTAATATTAGTTCCAACTGGATGAAACTTGTGACCGGAGTTGCAGTAAATTTAACCACAGATCCAGAATCAGAAAGTGCGGTCCTCTGGTTGCGCAAAGAAGAGACGATCTCCAGATATGGAGTAAAAAGGTATAAGTGCGAAGAAAACGATTATGCATTATTCATTGTCCGCTCACTCTATAAAAAGATTCTGTTGCTTTCGTTTAATAGAGCAATGGAGACAATTGCTAGGCCTACGTCCTACAGTTTTTTAAAGCATCCTTTTATTATATAGTGGCGTATAGATCCGTTGCTGCGCACTGACCTCGAAACGGACGAGTACAGCCCCTGCTATACAATAGGAGGATAAACAAACACCCGTTTATAAGCAACGGCTCCGTAAATACGTACCCGCAGAAACGATGCCCAGTCTATCGCTAGGCACTCGCCCATGACAACAATATGATTGTTGGAGGCGGTGTTTCCTGTTGGGTCCGCCCTGAAATTATATAACGAGGACACCAGCCGAGTTGCAGTAAGTTGTCAGCAGTTCAGTTGAGTGAACTGATGTGAAGTAGCTGGTTTGTTAGTGAGAAAGTTCAGTTGTCATTTGGAAGTCAGCCTGTGAAGAGAAGACTAGGAGGTTGGTGTGAAATGGCCGCCAGCCTGCGACCCAGCTGACAAAGAGTTCTGCGCGGGCAGCTGTCACAAGAGGACCTGAGCGTGGGAAGCTGAAGAATCTAACTTGGTAGAAGTCGTTGCCAGGAAACGGATAATGGAGAAAGTATTACACTGAGGATACTAGTCTGTGTGTGTCCATGGTCTGTAAAGTGTAGTTCCGAGTGGTGTGTACAAGTAGTCAACAAATCCATTCACCAATCCATATCCAGTCTATAGTCACACACCCCTAAATCGTGACAATACATTTGTGTGACTGAATTTATTTTCTTCTGTTGTACATGCATCTAATGCATTTCAACAAAACGCTGTTATGACTGTCCATGAGCTGCCTCGTTAAGACTGACAATTTACATTCCCCTGCTCCACAGAATATGGTTCATAATTAAAACCAAAAAAGACTGTTCTTCATTAATTTTATACGGTATCATGTACAGCGGTATTCCTTCTGTTCACTCCTCTCCGCTAGTTCAACTATAGGTTCAAAAGTAGGCTCATCGCGAAACAAGTGCCCTTTCTAAATCAATGAAGAAGTGGAGAGAAAAGTGTAGGTAGACCCGTGACGTGTTGCCTCATTAGACCATTAATCAGGGCGCTACCCCTTCCCCTCTCTAGGTTGCCAACTCAAATTACCATAATCATGAATCTGCCATTATTAAAGGCTCACTGCCATTCCTCTGCTTCAGATGTGAGTTCCGAAACTGAACCTCTGAGCTTCATTTCACTTCAGCTGTTTCATGGTACGCGATCTGCCACGCTGCTCTCTGTCAAGCAGATGTCAAAGCACGACCTTCATTCCGCCCACAGACTGTGCTGGCATCGACTGAGAGACGAGGCAAAGGTCGGTACGATATCTGGCTGTAATATCTTCTACTGTAAGTACAGTAAAGTTGTCCCTGTGCCCAGCTATTTAAGCACTACGCCATGAAGGTGTATGGAGGAGTCGATGTATAGATCCACATTTTCTTGATAAAGGCATTAACTGGAGGTGAGTGGTCAGCTTCAACCACCTGCCGCTTTACTCCCATTGGATATGAGGCCGAGTGAGCCACAGAGGCGGTCTGGACGACGTGAAGAAAAAATTCTTGACTCTACCGGGACTCGAAGTCCGACCCCTCGGTCATCCAGCACGTACCCAGTCGCTATACCGACTGCGCTATCCCGGCTCCTATATCTTCTGTCCCGAATGAAAAATGTTCATAACGTTGAATGAATAAAACGAGACATGTAGCCGGTAAGGATGTACTCGGACATAAGAATGACTGTGCTCGCGAGGGCCAGCAGCAATTGTAAATAGATCCAGCCTCTTGTCAGAGAGGATGTTACACACGGACTATGTACAAGTGTTCAGCTGCAAAAAAATACTGGTCGTGGGTCTCAAGCGATCTGTAAGGTGTAGTCACGAGCCGTGAGTGTGTAAGTGAACAATAAATCGAGTCACCAATCCAAACCCCGTCTGTAGTCACACATACACGTGAAAATATCATTAACTTAAGCACTAGATGGTGGTAGATAATAGGCTTCCCGCTCCGGCCGCTTTACTCAAGGAGAAATAGTTACCAGTACTCACGGGACAGGAGACTGGATGGAGTACACAACCGTTCTAGAGGTTATTCAGAAAATAGAAAGCTCTTACCGCTACAGGAGAATCTTATGCTCACATCTACTATTGGGTCTTCAGAGAGGTCACTTTTCAAGAAGTTTCTCCATACACAAAACAAAACTCTTACATACTTCCTATTTCCCCCATCAAAACTACATGTTCAGGAACCTTCCTCGTTTAACTTGGTACCACTGACATTTATAAGTCACCAAGCAACATATTATCACATCCTCGAGCTATAAGTTTGGGGCTTCGTCTCTGATCTGGTACTTGACTGGTTACAGATAA